TCCCTAATAAATAATTGCAATAGGAAAGAAAAATGAGGTTTGCAATGAGTTTTTAATCTTTTATGTGGGATAATTTGGTGTCTTTATCGAGCATGTTATTCTTATACTAGTATAAAGAGAATAAGTTTTACACCCAATAGTTTATTTATATATTTGTATCTAACGACTCACATATTTAATAAATCAAAGCATTCAGATATGAATTGGATTAATGACCAAGATTAAGAATATATCTTAAAATAGTGTAAAATAATTCTGATTATATATATTGGGTATAACTTATATTTCACATTCATGACTCTTGTTGACAAGATGCAAAGAAAACCAACGGAGGTACCGCAGAGGCATTGTACTGTTGTGAGCCTGTGGCTAATTTTATTTTTTTTCTTTTCTAGTAGTTTAGGCCTGGATCAATAATAACTATTGTTGCTTAAGGTATCTATGCCTATTTATATTCTCCTTATAACTACAGTGTTGTAACAAGTGTAGTGAGAAGAATATAGTGAATATTACTGAACGTAGCTCTCATTAAGTGAATCAGGATAAATTCGATGTCTCCTTTTTCTTCCATTCTCTCTTTACTATTTTAAGATTGAGTATTTGTTTATGTTTGGTCCCAACAATATATGTGTGTGTGAAAAGACATTTTACAAGACAAAATGACACAAAAGAGTACAATATTCATAGTTATTATACCACCTTTTATATGCTAATATAGATTGACTCATGAAAAACATTTCTAAGAAAAATGCAATGAGATAAAAGTTTGGTAAAGAAAAATAGATCCCCCACAATTAATGCATATAGCTATTAATGGAGCTACAGAAGAAGAGCAATAGTTACAATTTTTCATCATGGATATCTCATAATCTTCTTCCATAATAAATTGTAATAATGTTCATTTAATTAAATTGGTAACGTTCATTTACAATACTATTTCATAATGGATATCTCGTAATCTTCTTCCGTAATAAATTGTAATAATGTTCTTTTAATTGAATTGGTAACGTTCATTTACAATACTCCCCCTGGACGCGCTAAGTTCATGCCTTCTTAAAACCTTGCTAGAAAACTCAATGAGAAGAAATTATTGAAGGAAGGAGAGTACATGATATGCACAATCAAAACATTACAAAAACTATCTCATTAAACACCTTTGGCCAAGAAAAAGCTTTTCTAGAAAGAAAAAAAAAACTTGGCAAACGAAAAAAAGAGCATAGTAATAAATCTTTAGGACTATATCCTTCGTCGATGATCACATAATTAATTCACTCCACCTGGGAAAAGTAATCTGTTAAGTTTACGCATACTTAATCCAAATATAAATTTCTCAAATTTGGAAGTAAATGAGAGATTTACTATTCCATTAATGTGGTAGTTAAGAAATCATAAATGAGGGATAATTTCCTTATTAATGCCAACGGTTACAAAATTCAACTCATCTATAAATTAATATTTTACAAAGGGACATAATATTCTTACACCGATGTAAAAGTTAGAAGTCTTACACTCAATCTTGACCATTTATCCACTTGTATCCAATGGCTCACGTTACTAAAAAATTTGAGCCCTTTAATATAAGTGGGATCAGTGGACAAGATTGAGAGTGTAACTTACACTGGTGTAAAATGATCCTGACCCTTTTACAAATATATATATATATATATATATATATATATATATATATATATATATATATATTGTCAATAATTACAATAATTTTCATGTTATTTGCGAAGATATTGACTTTAATTAACTCATATTATTTTTTATTATTTTAAATGAGTAAATAAACTAACTTAATCAGTATCAACATAGCCCGCAATGGATTGATCATAAATGAACTGGATTGTGGATTCATGGATTGGGTTAGCTAACATTTAAAAAGGCCAATAAAAAGTCAATTCGACCCTGCATGCATAACCTTTGGGCTGAGTAGGGGAAATATTGAGTGCTATCGTGGTATTAAAAAGTTGTACATTTGTATATGGATGGTATACTACTTAGACACTAAAAAAATAGAAGACACATGTATATTATACTCTTATGTCAGCGCCAGAGTAAAGGATTTTTTTTTACTACCGATGATATATTTATTATCCGTATTGGTACGTGACACTGTAAATGAGTTCCGGTTGCAGGCTATCATGATGAACTTTTTTAATTCATTTAAATTATAAAACTTTGTATCGTTTTAGATTAAATGACATTATTTTGGTGTATGACTGATATTTTTTATATTTTTTCTCTTTCATAAAATTAAGAAGAGAGAGAAAGAGAAAGAGAAAGAGTAAGAGAAAGAGAGAAAATGTAAAAAATCATTAATCATGCACAAAAATAATATCGTTTCATTTAAAATGAGATAATATTATGTCATTTAAAATGATAAATATTTTTTTCTAATTTAAAATGGGTGCATTTTTTCTGTTATCACTGCACCATTTTTTCTGAGTAGACACAAAAAAAAGTGTAACCCACGTATTCTTAAAAAAAAAAATCCATCGACATATTTATGTATTGCTGCCAAATTTTTCTTATACAAAAAAAACAAAAGTACATTTCCCATTTAAAATACACTAAAATATCTTAAAGCTTTTGTTTGTATTTTTGTTTTAGTAGGCTCTTGAAACTTTTTTTAAGGATGCCATACGTTACACTAATTTTTCATTTTAAATTTATATTATTTTAATTAATTATAACAACTTGTTTATAATTTTAAATATTATTTTTTTAACATATTTTTAATTTTATCTAAATTCAAAAAGTGCCCTACACTTATTAGTTATTATCTAAAGTTTTGGTCCTATATATGCCATTGCAGTCATTTGAATTTAACAGGTTTTTTTTCTTATTAATATAGGACAAGAGAGTTAGTTAAAAAAGAACAAAATAATTTTTTCTTTTTAAAAAAAAATAGATGCATAACAAATCAGCTGCTATTTTTTATTGAGTAAAGTTTCTTTTGGGTCTTCGACAAATTTTACGGGACCCAATTAATCACTTAGAAAAAAAGTTGACTCGTGATCTCTTAATAACGTTACTAACGTGTAAAGTTAATTCACTGAGTCACATTTCACGTCGGACATAAAATGATGTTCTATTCGGTATTCAGCTTACAACGTCATTGGGGGAGAAATACTACAGATTTCCCTTCTCCTTTCTTGTGAGCAACCTTCTCTGTTCTTCAGCTTTCCATTTGCTTTCTCCGTCGAGATCGCATCCCATTTTTCTCTTTGCGTTGAGAGCGCATCTCCACTTGCAAGGACTTGGATTTGAGGCGCTTGGGTGTAGTACGAGAAGACCTTGATACTTTAATTCGTTATAAGGTAAGTGTTCTAACTATATGTTTATTTCTCAAAAAAATCTGTTGTGTGTCCCTTCTACAATGGTTGTGTAATGTAGATTCAGTGGTCTATGTTGTCTCCCAAATGTGGTCCTTAGTAAAGTTTAGGGTATACAAAAATTAAAAACATTTTCTATGTGGTCCCTATTTGAGCAAAGTCCTTGCAAATTTTAGTGGATTGTCGACCCAAGTGTTGGGTAAATTGATTGCAAAATGAAAAAAATATGTTTGTCTATCTCTTTGCACATTTTAGATTAATTGCATTATGCATGTGGTATTGTAAAATAATTGCATTATTTGTTTTGCATTCATTAATATTAAAGGATGTCAATTATGTATGAGTTACATATGGTTGAATATATAGTGATTGTGTATCGTCATGGGAGGTTGTTATTGAGTTTGGTAGAGTGATGAGTTGCCTGAGATGGATGTTGACTTTGTAAACTTGTGTGACCTTGACACTCTTTTTAAGGGATTTGGGTATGAAAAATGTAGAAGCATGCTGTGGCTAAAGTCCGATGAGCCTGATTTAAAGCAAGGGCTAAAACCTCTTGTAAGGATTGTGATATCAATGCCATGTGTGAAGCTGGCTTAGCTAATGAGAATGAGATACATTTTTATTTTGAAGATTGCATTTCAAATACTCATATTATAGCACCTGCACAAGGGAGGGATGGGTTAGAATGTGGTGTGCAAGTAGGTGAAGATAATGCGGTATTTTCTGCTAAATATGACAATGTAGAGGATAATGGGGTGTCTAGTGATTCATATGACAGTGCAGAGTATAATGAGGTATCTACTAAATATGATACTCTTTTTTATTAATTTGCTGGTTGGATCGGGTCAGATTCTATGCTAAAAATTTGGGTCCATGTCAAATCACACATGTGTCCAAGTTTGGTTGGGTCGAATCTTACCCAGACCGGCCCATACCTGTGAAATGCTTTATTACATTAGGCTGTCTATTACAATTAAAAAAAAAACAAAGGCAGTGAATTAGCTATACAAAAACAGGCTTGTTCGCCTCGAACCTGAAATCCCTTAAGCATTCAGCAAAAAATAAAAAAATAAAAAATAAAAAATAAAAAATCCCTTTGGCATGTAATAATGTTTTGTAATATGATGCAGCATACTAGCAAGTGCCCAACTTATTTTGGTTAAGAGATATTATTCAAAGTCTATTTTCACATATTTTTCTTAGCAGGGAAGGTTGGGTAATGGGTAGTTTGGTTCTTGATCAAGGTCTACTAATTGCTAGATGAAAATTTGATAGGCTTGTTATCCTGACATAATAAGCTTTTGTACCCTTTTCTTGAAATTAAAGATATAATATTCATCATAATCAATCACCGTAGGTACCTTTATAATAAAAATTGTGTATCAATCTCACTCCAATAGAATGATTATGTTACTAGTGAGGATCCCTTTCCTGAATATCTTTAAGATTTTTTTGACGCGTCTATACCTTTCCTTTTAAACAAAAATATAATATTCCACATTCAGAAAAGAAAAATAATAACAAAAATTCATCCAGATGCCACTTAGAAGCAACTTTTATTACTTTCAATTTGTTCTTACATAATATTTCTAATGGAAAAACAAATACATTTATTTCTTGCAGAATGGAACACATTTGGCGTGTCCAACTCTTTTCCTTTTTATAGCAAAGTGTAAGGGCTCAATTTTCATTGCTAAAAGCCCTGTAATGTATGGAGCAATTTTGAGCGGAATAGCTTGACTATGTACAGTACACAGTATCTTTGCATCCAATTTCTTTTATATACATTTTGTTTTTGGCCAGGGGGTGCATGATTAGGCCTTTGCAATTTTTTGGTGTAAACTTGAACTACCAGAAGAGATGGAGCATCAATGTTGAACTTCAAATACTTTTTATATTGAACCTAGTAAGATATGAACCACATTTATTTGGTAAATTGCTGTATCACAGAATCCTAGCTGCATAGGAACTCAACCGAGAGCTTCTTTGCATTTCCTAGAGATGGGTAATAAGGTAAATATTGCTTGCCAATTCAATTCTGCAAAAAGACCAGCAGAAGAAATTGATAATAAGAATGACACAGAGATGCATAACAACATTTTAGAGGATAATCAGAACATAAAGACTGGAAATTTTTCAATGCCAAATGATCTATATCTAGTAATTTCTGCATGTTGCTGCCATAAAAGTTGAGGAAATAGAGAAAACAAGAGATATGATAGAAATAAAGGGTGAGGAAAATATGAATATCATGAATTTTAATAACTAAGATAGATTGGAAAACATAAGAACATCCAGGGACTACAAAGTTACATGAGGCCTTCAAGAAAAACTAGTTAAACTTCTTCCTGAAATTCAGCAGATATCCAAAGGCTTCTAGCTGAGGATTTATTAGGAATATCTTGGAATGAAGCTATTAACAAAGGACAAGACTAAAAGAAATGGAATAGTTGGAATACCCTATTAGAAGCATCATATGAGCACACTTCAAGTTCTTTTGACCAAAGAAATTCCACTAGGATCACCTCCCCATTCTTCCAACACAACCAAGGAGTTCCCACTTGGGTTCAGCCATGAGCGAGGAACATGATACCTGTCCAAAGGAAAAATTAGGCACTCATGATATTCAAGTGTTTACATCATCGCTGTTGTGACATAAGTTGTATAAATTCTTACCATCTCTGAGAAGGTTCTCCACAATTTGTCCTGCATTTTTTATCAGTGTAAGTTCCAGCATAATTACAACCACCACAACTACCATGTGCTATATATCCAGGCCAATGGCGACCAATGCTCTGACCATTTATCCATACTTCACCCTTTCCCATGCTACTCATATCTAGGGCCAATGGATCGTTGCCAGCTGGTGCGTTAAAAGTTGTCTAACAACATTAAAGCATAAAATAACTCAGAATTCATACAGATGCAAGTGATAATCTATAACAGTGATAGAAATGCAACATCTGTACAAAATTTATTCTTACCTTGTACCATGTCAAAGGTTGTTTTCTAGCCAATAATGATCCTTGTGTCCACTCAACAGAGTTACTCCCACTTAAGGTATGAAGGCTCAAGGTTTCACCTTTCAGTCCAACCTGCCCAATAACATACAAATGTGTTAATCATTACTACTGCAACTTTACAAAATAAAAAGTACATAAATAAATAATTCTTTCTGCTTTTTATTCTTTTGGATGATTTTACACTAATCAATGTACATATTCTTCTTTTTCTTAGTGCCTACACTGGCTAATTTCATCCACATTTTCAATCTTCAATTCTTATTTATCCTAGAATGACACAGATGTTTCCTTAGAATTTTTGTTTCATTAGTGATCAAGTTTCAACATATATTAATAATTACTATCTCATTGTCTAGTCTTCACCTCAGTATTTATTAAATTGTTAGTTGAATTAATGTTATTTTTGGGCTATATACACCCATCATTATTATAAAACCTTTCAATGTTGCTAGTAAGCAATGAAATATACTAGATAACAAACCTTGTAAGACCATTTCTGCCGAGACAAGTCTCGTGTCCCCTCATTTAGACCCTTCAGTGTGACTGGGCCTAGCACCCCAGCATTCCATGTTTCAAAGTGCAGACCAACATTCTGGTATTAATTGAACACAAAATAAAATTAAAATCAAGATATTACTTCTCAGCAAGTTATAAATGCTACAGAAAACATTGATATCAGAAAGAGAGAACTAACCGGGAGACCAACGGCAACACTAAGTAAAGAAATCTTGTTATTGCCAACCCTCAGCTTCACATTGCCACTAAATGTTAATTTAGGATTATCCAATCCCCCATACACAGTTCCTGCATACATACAGGAGATGGATATGTAAAACTGGAGTTTGTAATAGAAAAATGCTACTTAAAAGAGGCATGATAATTTTATTCACCTGAAAATTGACCATTAACAAAAACATGCAGAACATCACCAGCTGACATTGCGGTAAGAAGAAGAGATTGCCCATTCTTTATAAAACCTTCATTAGCATTAATGTTGACACTGAACAAGGGATATCAATATTGATCAGATGGAGAGAGGATAGAATAAGTATCAAGAGATTAACATTTTTAATACTTGTCTTTAAGAAGTTTGATAAGTTTAAAGATGCTTACTCTGTCATATACCACAAATAATCTGAAGAATCCCTGGTCACTTTGACCTGCTCCCAAAGTGCATGTGCTGTGATTGAATCAGCTTCACTGGAGGATGCAGGTTCTTCATTGTATGACTGCCAAGCAAATGCACTGTTTACAGGAGTCATCTTTTTCTCCCACCTCTGGGCACCAACCTGCATAAAATTGTTAAATAAATGAATTATGAATATTCACACTACAAAAAATCTTAACATACCATTTCTCCTGAAAACACTATAACTCAAGTTTTTTAAAGATATCACTAACAAATTGATTTCTGTATAAATAATTTCACCATACATTACTTCTATTAAGCAAAAATAAAATTGCAAAACTTATTTAACATAGTCAGCAGTCTTGTGTTACCCTTGCAGTGTTGAAAACTGCAGTTTTGCAGTCAGGAAGAATACTGATAGACCAAGGTGGTAGGTCGTAATGCCCATTTCCAAATGTAACTTTTGAGGAAGATATGGTGTCATAATTTGCAAGAAATGCAGCACAGGCACCAGACTTTGTCTTGTACACATGTACCTAAGATTATATTAACAAAAGGAATCAAATGAATTTTCAAAGTAGGGAATTCTGTTGGTTTTAATCACAAAAACAGCTTAGGGACTTTACCTCAAGGTTTTTTCCAGGCCATGACACTGTGGGGTCCACGGACACTAAAGCCGGCTCACATTGTTTTATTGCTTTATGCAAATCTCTCAAATGCCCCCATTTTGGTTGATTTACAAGTCCTGATATAGATGAACAAGCTTGAGTCAGGCTAATGTGAAAATGTATCTCAGCTTTACCTATGTGATGCCTAAAGTAAAAATGTGCATTTTGCTGTGAAAAAAAAAATTTATTTTTCTCTAGCCAAAAGCTTCCTTATGTTTTCAAGAGCTTTAACTGTGTGTAATTGTCATCATCCAAAGCATGTAAACAATTTAAACTTTACTGCTTACCATATTCATCAATGGGAGCATCATAGTCATAGCTAGTGGCAATGAAGCGGCCGCCAGATGTCCGGCCAAAGTTAGTTCCTCCATGGTACTGGACTCAAAAAATGAGACATTAGATTCAAATCAAAGTTTCTAGAACATGAATTTATATAGCACACAAGTATTCACCATGCCATGGATAAATCATATGTGAAGAGGACCAACATACCATATAGTAGTTAACAAATGAACCACGATTCTGTACAAATCTGGCAACTGAGAATGCCAAGTCTTCTGCAGGTCTATGAGGGTTTGCACCCCCAAAATCAGTATACCTACAGAATTGGAAACATAAAACTAAATATACGAGAAAAAAAAATCAAATATTTTCATCTTACAAGGTAGCATTTGTATGACTTACCAGCCAGTCCAATTCTCAGTCCACATTTTGGGCTTGTAGTTCTTGTTGGGAGAGAAATTCTCACAGTAGAACCCATTGCAGGTGTCAATCTATAGCACAGTCAGTAAATACAGATATGAGAGAGAGAAGGATGCAAGGGAGAAAAATCACTTTGCCTATGAAAAACACACGTTTTTCCCTCATGAAACATTGAATTGAAACCAAAAATTGGCACTTTCTAAAATATTCTTTTTCTTTTGAAATAAAAGTGAAGGAGACAAAAGCACACCAATCACTGCAATTATAGAAATCCTTCCTCCAAATAAAGGAAAATAAAAACGGACAAAAGGGTCAAATGGGCTTGTAAGATATAAGAGAACAGCAAAATATTACCATATGGTTAAAAGCAACAAACAACCTTAGCCCAATCAAAGTAAGCAAAAACACTATTGAAAACCCCACCACCATATATATCCATGGATCACATAAATTTATTGGTTTAAAATAAGAATTTTATGCCAAAAAAAGACAGCAACACACACACACACACACAAACGTTTAGCAAGAGAAAAAGGGAGAATAACTTACAACAGGATCAGGTGCATCTTCTTGCTTGCACATAACCCAAGGAACACCAGTATTTAGACCAACAGCCATTTGAGCAGCCCATTTTGTGTAAGATTTTCCAGGAGCACCAATTTCCCATTCCACCGGTCCATACTCGTTCTCTACCTGTCAATTCAATTAGATAAAACACTAAATTAAGCATCATCATTATTTTAATTGGCTGCATAAACTTTATACTAAAAAAATTACAAAACTGAAATCAATTGTACAAAAAAATATATGGGTTTAACTTTTCTTATGTTGTAGGATTGTAGGAGATAAAAAAAAGTAGAGAAAAGTTAAATGTGGGTCCCATATTTTATATTAAAAAAGAAAAGAAAAATTAATTGGCACGGAAAACGAATTTGTGTAGGAAAATGGGAGTATCTCATGTGGCATGAGAGTATTATTTCCCAAAATATATATTATTTAAATACCATTTTTTTATCACCCAAAAATAAAAATACAAATATTTTACCTGAGACATAATTATTGGACCACCCTGACTTTGAAACAACTTCTCTGACTTCATCAAACTGACAATCTTCCCAGTGAATTTTTGCATTGCCGCCTACACACATCATGACAAAATTGGACTATTGGTTAGAGCATTCATTAAATTACATAATCAATCAATAATAAATGAATTATTAGACTTAAAGATGCTCTATTGCTCCAAATTGAAAAGTCCAACCTTGAAGGGCTCATTGTCTGTTCTGAAAGCAATACCAGGAACATACTTGAGCCACACAGGAAATCCCCTGAATTGCAAAACAGAGAGAAAACAGAGCATGTGACCTTTGAGTGGTTTTGTAAGAATTATTTTTCTTCTCTCACAAGAATTTTTCACTTCATATAACAAAAGCATAAGAAGGTTAAGGTGTACATCATTAAAATCATTACCCAAAATTCCATTCAGCACATACGTAGGGACCAATACGGAGATGAACATAAAGGCCAGCTTGCTGAACCAACTTGATGAACTTAACCAAGTCAAACCTCTCTTCGAAATAATACTGAAATTTTTTCAACATTACATAAAACATGAATATGAGTCTTCTTTTAAACTTTTAACAACAAAGGATGGAAACACCCCCACAAAAATAAATAAAAACTAAGGAATTTATTTATTTATTTTTATTTTAAATTTGCATTACTTTTCCAGGAGAAGGCTCATGTCCATTCCAAAACACATAGGTCTGAATAACATCAAGGCCTCCATCTTTGGCCTTTTGAATTAGGGCTGGCCACATCTGCAATAAGAAATGAATTAACACTTTGGTGCATGCATGAATGAAAAAATAAAATAAAATAATGAAAAAACAAAATTTTGATGAAGCATGTTAGTAAGAGTGGAAGTGGAATGAGTACCTCAGGTGTGCTTCTTGGATAATGGATGGAACCAGAGATCAAAATTCTTCTCTGCCCATTAATCAAAATGGCTTTGTGATCATAACTCACAGAGGCTGTGACAGCACAAACCCATAAAAGTAATAATAATAATAATAACATTGATCTCATTAAACTCTCCATCATTAAAACTCTAGAACCACCCATGACCTGCTATATGTAATTCTTAAAGCAACAATGGTGTCTTTCTTTCCTTCACTCTCCTTTATACATTGGAAACTTAAAAGGATAGAGGGACAAAGAGAAAACAACTTATCTTAGCAACAATGGTGCTTTTTGAGAAATAGATAGGTTCTTTTATTACAAGACTTTGGCAAGGTGAAGTGTTTTGGTTTTGATGGGTGAGTTGAGCTAAATGAATGCGAATGCAACTGCTTTATATAGATTTGGAGACCGAAAGCAAAGAGAAGGGGATGTGGGACCCGTTTTTCTTCAAATTTCAACACTTGTGTTTTTACTTCTCATTTTTTTTTATGTGGGGATCATAACATTCTTCACACGGAACTACTAACTATAAGAAATCTTTAACTTTTGCTTTGGAAAAATGTGGCTTGATTCAGTGGAAATGAATATCTCATGTCCCTTTATTTTAGTAAGATCAAGTGATTTGAGAAATTTATGTTTAACAAATCAACAATGATAAGTTATATAAAAAAAGAAGAAGAAGAAGAAGAAAATAATCATTTTAATTGTCAACTGTTAACTTATTATTGAATAATTAAAATTTTATCTTGAATGATTATGTTAGGATTACATTTAACAAGAAAAATATTTCTGCAAGTTATTGCAGATAAGTTATCTGCATTTATTCTCAAAATGATGTCGTTTTAGGATTGAAATATTAAAAAATTATAATTATAAAAACTATAATAACCTGAAATAAATTAAAATTACAAAAACATCATGATTTCTGCCCAAAATGACGTCGTATTGGGCTTACTGCAGATAACTTATCTGTAATAATTACAGAAAAAGCGAACCCTATATTTAAATATGAATCCACTTTAGTATTTTATATAATTATTCCTACTCAAAATAGGTAATTATAATTAAATTAATAAAGATAAAATGATCAATTCAGTTCAAATCCTCAAATATTATATGAGTGAATTTCAGTATTTACATAATTAAATTTATAAAAAAAATTATAATCAAACCAATTCATTTTAATTTTTTTTTATCTTTCTAGATAAGAATTTTTATTTATAGAAAAAATTAGAAAAAAAAGTGTTACTCAACTAAAATTAATTGATAAGAGTGTCTGTTAAAATAAGTTAGCATGTTTGTTTATACAAAAAATGATTAATTGATATTTATTAGTTTATTTTATTCAGTAATAACTCGGTGATTGGATTTCAGTGGCTTACAGAACGAATTATGAAATAATCTTATTATGAGTACAGTGTCCATTTTAAACAAACAGTTAAAGACTCAAAATATATTAAAATAGTAATTTTTAAAAAAAGAAAAAAGAAAATTAAGTCTGTTAAAAATATTTTAATATTATCTGAAATTTTGGATTGATTACGTCTAATATACGCGAAAAATTTCAGTGGTACCTTTTGAAAAATTTGAAACATAAAAAAAAATATAAAAAAAAGAAAAAAAACAAAGTGAAAAAAATTATCCACATTTCCAGGAACCACTGAAATTTTTCTCCTTTTCTCCTAATATACACATACTCATTTAAGAATTGCTTATTTCATGTTACCTTCCACAACAAACAAGATTACACCAAAACAAATACGTTATTGTAACCGGTTTTGAGTCAAATCGTGGTATTTTAATGTCTACCTAGCAATCCCAATCTGGCTAAAAAAGCTTTGTTTTTTTGTACAGTATTATATACATATTTTTTTGGTAAGCTTGTACAGTATTATATTATTATGGTCAAGTGTTACATCAATTATATAATTATTTAATTAGGTTTTTTTCTTCCAAAAAGCTGATTATTGATCTTTTGAATTGTTGATTAAAGGCGAGTAACCAATCAAAGAATAAAGAAAATTTTAATATGCTAGACAAGTGTTAAATTATTTTTAGAAAAAAAAAAATGTTGAATGAGCTCAAAGCTTTAGTTGAAGAAGCACCAAGTTTACTTTAAATTTATTTTATCTTTTAATCAAAGGTGGAGTTGAATTAATATAAAAAAGATATTTTTATTATAGATTTTTCTGAAAACCTTTTTTTTTCTAATTTATACAACACAAAAATTAATTTATTTCCAAATTTTTTAAATCAAATATACCCTAAATCTCATTTTATACTGCTTTGGTGTTTATCATATCATTCCCTACATTAGGTGTTGGATGATGTCTTCTATGGTAAAAATTGAAGATTTCATTTTTAGCGCAATAAATTGTAATTAAAAAGAAAAGCAAAGAAAAGTACAAAAAAAAAAAAAAAAAAACAGTGATGATGAAATACATATGGAGGGTTTATTTCTCTAATATTTTTTTAAAATAAAAATTGGATTGGCTCTCCAAAGAAAGCCAAGTTGCCGCGTATTCAAGTTCAACAGCCTGTACCATGACGTATTTCTTTAATCATTTCATTCGGATTACTGAACCGGTTCCCCTTCGTATCAATTATCATAACATGCCCCGTTCATAATAATGCTGTGCCGTGAACTCCGCAAACTACTTCTAATTTCGGCAAATTGACGTGAAACAAAGCCCATCCTAAAAAGGTAATGTTTAAAGGGAAAAATATTTCTGCATAGATAAATTATCTGCATTTATTATCAAAACGACATCGTTTTGATATTGAAATCTTAAAAAATTATAAATATAAAGACTATTATAATCCTGAAATAAATTAAAATTATAAATACATCATGATTTCCGTCTCAAAACGACGTCGTATTGGGCTTACTGCAAATAACTTATCTGCAGTAACTGCAGAAAAAACGAAGCCATGTTTAAATGATAGAAATATGGCCTAAGGTTAGTAATTCATATATTTTGAATAATTATTTTTAAAAAAATGGTTTTTATTTATTATCTAAATTTCACAGTCAGAAATTTTTTTGAATTAAATAATTATTACAAAAACTAACTTTAATTAGTTGAAATTCGGAGAATATGAATAATCAAATATTTTTAATTATTAATTTATCTATGAATAATTGATATGATTTACCAAGAACTTATGTGACATAAGATGATTCATTCCTCTCAATACGATTTGATGTTTGGATCATTAGTCATAAAAAATATTTGTTTTTAATTGAAAAGAATGGATTTAAAAAAAAAAATTATTTTATTTTATTACTCATAAGCTTACATGTACAAATTAAAAACTCTCAAGAGGATTTTGCATTAAAAACCTTATCTTTATTTCTTTATGTTATTTTCTTAAAAATATATTTTGTTTCTTGAATTGCATTTACTTATTTACCAAATATTAAATGTATGTATTAATTCTACCAAAAAAATGTATGTATTAATTATTATATTTTTTTAGATATATTAGTGAGATTTGAATATATAACCCAATCCAAATTACCCAAACCCCTATACCAATCCTAGTGGTTTTAATTATTATAATTTTTATTAGTATTGATAATGATTGACTAAATCAATCTTTTTTTTTTTTTGGGTACATAAATCAATCTTCATTAATAAATTTTTTTTATTACAATTTTATATATTTCACCAAAACAATATCGTTAATAAAACTAATTAACACAAAATATTTCCGGGCAAAACATAGATAGAACACTAGTTTAAAAATTATACAACTATTTTCAACACTCAAAAGAAAAAAAAAAACCAGCATCAAGCTTTTGAAAAAAAAAAATTAGTGTAGCGCTTGACTTGTTTTTTATTAAATATTATGGAAACGATTATTTATTAAAAATAATTGTTCTGAATATTATTTGGAAAACGTATCTTTAAAGTTATAAAGTTTTATTTTTATTTATTAATAATCTATTTTTATTCTGTTATCATGAATGATTAAACAAATTGTATAATATTTTTGCCTTTTGATTGTTCCATATATTGTACGCGACGTTAAAGGGAGACAAAGATATCAGTATATCACCACTTCGTGGAATCAATTTCAGTTAATATAGAAAATGTTGAAGGTAAGGAAAAAAAGTAATTCATTATTTTTTTATCATGAAAGCGTAAAATCGTAATAATAAATCGAAATTTTAATAACAATCGGGACAAATTATCAATCTCAACAAGAATTTATAGTAAGATTACAAATTACCTTGCAATGATAGATTTTACATTTCGAATTCAAGTCATAATGTTGTAATAAATAGAAAGTCGACCAAGTCATGAGTTAATACTCAAGTGTTGATTGTTAAAAAAACAAAACGAAATTTAAAAAAATACCTTGGAAAAAGTCAGTTAATAAAATTATAAATCATGTAATAAAAGTATATTTGAATCTTACAAAATACTTTGCTTTATTTTTCATATCTTTTTTCAATCTTTCCTTCCATAAAAATTATGCCTAGGCTTCATTTGAACCTTACTTCAGTAATGAGTAATTCCTTAAAAAAGAGATAGTATAAAAAGCAAAAATATCTGCATTTGCGATTTGTGGGTCTCCACACCGAAGGTGTGGGTCCATATTCCCTCCAAAATTTCCTCATTGGTTTTCGGCTTGGTTCGGAGGATGACTCGCTTCACGCTTTATACCTTCCAAATGCACATCTCAGTAACCATTTGGCAGTTCAAGAAGCAAAAGCAATAAATGAATACTAGTTTATTTTTCCTCCAATTATAATTTAATCGACAGATGAAAATAAAAAAACGTACACTATAAGAATAAGTGGATGATGAAAATGCAAAGTCATCTTTGTGAGTGGACCCCATTATTTTATTTCATATTATTAAAAAAAAAAAAATTGTAATACCAAACAAACACAAGGTAAATTACAAAATTTAATGCTTAATTAATGCAACATAGGCATACTAACGGAGCTAATCATAATCTATTGATAATTTTAACTATTAGCAAATAACAGTGTGTCCCAAATTAACTTTTTCGTTTAAAGAGAGAAACAGAAACAATAGGAGAACATAAAAATCAGTTGCCAAGTTGCCATGGATGTAGCTACACATGAAGATGAGGATAAGGATGGGATGAGAGTGCTGCGTCGGTTAGTCAAGAGTACTCAACCATTT